CATGGAAGGTGTAATAATCTCGCACTGGTGGAGAGGGAAAATGGATCTTATAAAGGGTGCAGAGCAGATGAACCAGATGAGCTGAACAGGTGAGTGGAATCAGGGCTGATTGCTGTGATAGGCTGAGGGGGTGTGGTGAACTGTTAACTGACAGGAGCAGATGTGAGCAATGACAGGAGCTGAGGGATAAACAAAACATGAAGGAGAAGGGCAGAAAACATGGCATGTCATGAAGGGGCAGGGAAGTGAGCAGATGGGGGGCCAGCAGGGGCCGCTGATCATGACAACAACAGAACAATATACAGTACACACACAACGGAGATGTGTGTGTACTGTATATTCTAAAAAAGTGTCAGGTCCTCTGGATGTTCAAAAAACAACAACAAAAAATGAATAAAATTGTACAAACGTTTCGTCTTTCATCCGAAAGACTTTTTCAGTCTGAGGAGCTGTATTCAGCACAGTCTTATGAATAGCACCTTGTCATAGTGGATCAACCAGTTTGTTGTTGACATTAAAAACTAGCTGTTCACATGATAAAGGAGGACCATCAGCCTAACAATGGATCGTTAGCACACTGATGGCTGTTTGCTATCTACAGGGGGCTGAGTGATACTAGCAATAACAGCATTGTAACAGCACCGAAACAGCCTTAGGCCCTATTTACACAGACACGATGGTGGGAAACGTATTTTTTTTTCATATGTTAATTAGAGGAAAAGATTTGCGTTGACACGGTCGGATTTTGGGTTTACATGCATCCGGAGGATTCCTCCCCGCCCTCCCGAATCTGCTGTAGTTACCATGCCGGGTCATTAGATGGCGCTGTGAATTTTGTACCTTCACCTAATGCGCATGCGTGCTGCCTCGGCACGCTCTTTTCCTGTGAGCTAAAAAGCTCAGCTAACAACAAGTTAAAGCTGGATTTTGGATAAGAGTCGACAGATTTGACGCCAAGCAGGACCGCTTTGTCTAACAGCTCCACACCGGTCGCTGAGTGAACCAGAACCGAGTCAATGTCGGACTTTACTCCATGATAATCAGTACCTGTTTTACAGCAAGTAAATCAACGTTCTTAATAATGTTAGATTGTGTTTACTTCGGTTACAAAACAACCAACTGAGTTTTTATTTTTTCCTGAAAGAAGAAGGAGCTGTCCTTCCACCAGGCGGACCGGTTCTGAACGAGGCTCGGCCCAGATGCAGTACAGGAGGACGTCGAAGAGAGATGTGGATGAACTATTTGTTAAAAATTCCCCTCGTTTCTTTTATTTAATCCATTCAAGTTCAGTTAACCTGTTTTTAATAGTGTGTTCAGTTTAATTATCAGTGTTTATGTGACATATAGTTTGTGGTGTTGAATAAATAAATAAAAATTAAACCTGATGTCTTCATTTTCAACTTTAGTGTTCACGCTATATGTTTAGCATCATTTTAAATTTGAATTACATAATGTCCAGATAGCTTCATTTAGCTCAGAGCTTCATTATATCTCACACTACCATAAATACTGTTTATTATTATTATTATTATTACATTTAGATGTTATAGTGCAGCGCGATGTGTGCGCGTGCCACGTTCTATAAGCCACGTTCTATAAACAGCAACATTACAACTGGATCAGACTGTGTCTTCCAACACAGATGTTGGTCACAGCACCTGGAATCTGATGTAGATTAACTACGAGATTAAAATATATCTCATCAGTCTTAGTTCAGAAAGCAGTGTATCTGTTGCCATGTTTATAGAAATATAGTGTCTGTCCGCGCATGCGTATGTGGTTTAACACAAAGCCTCAGAGGAGATGTTTACATTATCAGCAGGGGGTCAGCGAAAAACCTCCACTCTGGAAGGTGGGTTCAGAAACCTCCGGATTCAAAGAGGGGGGCCACTGGTGTCGTGTAAATGATCAGCAGAACCACAGAGAGAAAGCTGCGGATGCACTCAAAATACGCGCCGTGTAAACGGCCCCTTAAGTTAGGGTCTGCAACGACATTCTTCTGGCAAATGACTCTGGTCAGTCTGTAGTCCTGGTACTCCTTGACCTTACCGCTGAATTTGATACTGTGGAGCACAGTATCCTTTTATCCCGGCTAGAACACTGGGTTGGGATTACTGGTGCAGTGTTAGAATGGTTCCGTTCATACCTGAATGACAGGAGTTTCTGTGTTAATTTTGCTAATACTCTATCTACTTCAGTGCCTCTTTCCTGCGGGGTCCCGCAAGGCTCCATCTTGGACCCCTTCTGTTTTCATTGTATCTCCTCCCCTTAGGGTCTATCCTGAGGAAACATTGTCTTTCCTTTCATTGTTATGCTGATGACTCTCAGATTTATCTGCCGTTAACACCTAACAGTTCCTCCTCCATTCGCCCTTTGTTAAAATGTCTTGTTGACATCAAGACTTGGATGGCTGCAAACTTCTTAAGTTTTAATTAACAGAAGACTGAGGTCATTGTGTTTAACCCTAGCTCCGCCACTGTCATTGATCCTGCAAACCTGGACTCTCTACAGCCATCTCTAAAACAGTCTGTTACCAATCTCGGGTTAGTTTTAGACTCAGACTTTAAGTTTAATAAGCAGATAAATTCTGTTCTTCAAAAAAGCTTCTTTCAGCTAAGGCAGATAGCTAAGCTCAAGTCCGTGCTGTCCAGATCCAATCTTGAAAAATTAGTCCATGCATTTATTACAACCCGGCTGGACTACTGTAACGCTTTATGCTGTGGACCGAACTTCTTCATCCTTATACTCCTTCTCTGGCCTTGAGATCATCAGACCAGCTGCTTTTGGCCGTACCAAAAACCAGCTGAAGCTCAGAGGAGATCGGGCGTTTTCAGTCATGGGCCCTAAACTCTGGAACAATCTGCCCATCAACATTTGACAGGCCACCTCAGTCTCTATTTTTAAATCTCTCCTCGAAACACATCTGTACTCATTGGCATTTAACACAGTGTGATCTCATTGGGTATTTCGTTGTTGATGATTGTGTTCATCCATTTTGCTTTTACTCCCTGACATTTAACACAGTGTGATTTGATTTAGTATTTTGTTGTTTCTCATTATATTTCATGTTTTTATGCTTTTATTCATGTTGCTTTAATATGTTGTTATTAATATTTGATGCTGTGATCTTTTTTGGTAAGCACTTTGATAACAGTTACTGTTTTAAATGTGCTATATAAATAAATGTGACTTGACTTGACTTGTAAGAGGGGGACAGTTGAACACGGAGGCCTCCAGAGGACCTGACTTAACTTTTGTAGATTTTTCTACCTGGATTATTGAGCATGCATCAGGATGTATTGTATATTGTTCTGTTGTTCGGTTTTATGCTGTTAATAAAATAAAAAAGAAAAATCTTCCTCTTTGACTTAATGTAATTCCATTTTTTCAAATGTAAAGGCTCCAGTATACTGCCGTGTACGTCCGTTCACGCATACGTACGCGTGTACTGTACGCAGGGGGTTCAGACTTCATACTCCAGCGTACACCCCGAGCAGCTGCAGAGCAGCTTCACAGACAAGGGGCGTTTACCTTCGGGACAAATTGAGGTTGCCAATTGGTCATTTGCTGACACGCCTACTGAATTGATTGACAGGTTGGAAAAAAGAAAAGAAAGCGAGCGCTGGCAGCCTCCGCCGCAGCGGGTTCTGTGTTTATATGTTGTTAATGAAAAGATCTAAAAAATTTAAAAAAACAGAGAGCGCTGGCTCTACAGCCCACATATCAAACCAGCCCACTAGGAAATCTCCAGACCCTCCTGCAGCCATGCTGGACCTGAGTTTTATTCGCTCGTGACAAATTCCTCCATTTCTCACCATTTCAGTCATGGCATCAACGGAGGATGAAGAGATCACTGCCTCTTGGCAAAAAAACTAAAGAAAAGGCCAGATCAGGGATGAAGAAGGGAAATTTAATACATTGGTGTCGTCGCATACAAAACAGTCCGTCGCTGGGCAGTTTATTGTGCAACACCGCGTACGCGTATGCGGTCATAAAAATTTGAGCTTTGCACGGAGGGTACGCTGGGGGGTACACACGTACCTCTGCGTACCTCTGCGTTTGGATGTACGCGGCAGTATACTGGGGGCTTAATTCTTTTTTTTTTTTTCAAAATTTAATTCAGTTTTTTCAAATGTTGTGATTTTGTTGTTTTTTTATACTTTTTCAAATGTAATTCCGTTTTTTTCAAATGTTGTTCATTTACACCTTAGGGCCACCGTACTGTTCATTGTTTAAGCAGTCAGTCACGTTATGATAAAGGCCTAATTAGTATTGACCACAGTGGAGTTTATTTGTCTTTGCAGAGAAATAAAGATTTCAGACAAACAATGCATTTCATTGAGGACGACACTGATATTTGCTGCTACATTAGATTTGTTGTTCTGGATAAAGTTTTCCAGTGCAATAGCCTATGCTAGGTTATCTAAACATTAGCTTGTTAACTTGAGAGGCATGTAGCTAAGGGCAAGCTGGTTGGAGGATTGAAGATAATTTATTATTGTTATTCTTTTTATTTTACTGATCAGTTAAACAAACTTACCATGCTCTGTTCAGCAAAATATGCTACAGTTGCTCGCTGCTTTGTCTGTGCTGAAAGTTAAACTTAAGTGAACGGCAATGACTTGAAAGTATTTTCCATGCGCCCTCTGCTGGATACATTGTTCAATTACGGCTGGTTCCAGCATTTTAGGGGTGCAAATTAGAAGTGCTTATATTGGCGCATAATGAGACGATTATCACCGATACGATAAGTCCCCATACACCTATATCGGCATAAATTATCAGCCCTACCAATATATCGGTCGGGTCTATAAAATAGCATAACTAATTTTTTTAGTTGGACATTTTTGCAGCAAGATGTACAAAATGAGAAAATTTGGTTCAAAGTATTTCAAACTTATTCAGTTGTTGTGGGTAAGAAGAAGAGTCAAGACCATGTGTTTACTGCAAGAAACAAGGTTGATATTTTTTTCAACTTGCCATGTTATTTTCATTTGCAGGAGACCAATGAAATTGTAGCCATAAAGAAATTTAAGGACAGTGAAGGTAAGAGTTCACAAGTGAATGCCAATGACTTCCAAATTGATGCAGTCCCTCCTGTTTGATTCTGTTTGCCTGCATTCTATATTAATCTCTACATGGAAGCCCAACATGTTCCTGATTTGTTCTCTCTGTCTCACCTTCATGCAGAAAATGAGGAGGTTAAAGAAACAACACTACGAGAGCTTAAGATGCTCCGCACCCTCAAGCAGGAGAATATTGTTGAGCTTAAAGAGGCCTTTCGAAGAAGAGGAAAACTATACCTCGTCTTTGAGTATATGGAGAAGGTCGGCTTCAGCCGTTTAAACATGGCTTTTGCAGTCTTCTGACTCTTCAACGTCTTTGCCTGCTGACATAATTTAGTGATTTCTACTTTCCTTTTTTAGAACATGCTTGAGCTGCTTGAGGAGTTACCCACTGGTGTGCCAACTGAGAAAGTATGCAGCTACATCTTCCAGTTAATCAAAGCTATTCACTGGTGCCATAAGCATGATATTGTTCACAGAGGTAATTTCAATGTTGTTTTTTGAGCTCATAATATAAACACATGAGGAGCCGCTGATAGTAGGGGCAGAAAAGAGGGTTTCTAGGCTGAAAGCTGCTCAAGAGCTCTCCAGAGAGTGCATCACAATCTGAGCTAATGTTCTCAGAAGCAGCTTTTAAAAATAAATGTAGCTGTAAAATTTAAAAACTAACATTTTCTCTATCTTATATAATGTAAGTTTTAAAAATGTTGCTAGATGATTTATATCCAAACTATATGTTGTTCAGAAATAAAGCTTTTGTGGAATAACTGGCAGGCCACCTTTAAAGCAGATGGCCCATGTGAGCCTTTGGCACACCAGCAACAGAGCAGACATCCAAAGGCCTATAGTACACATGGGCACACATGAAATTGTTTGGTGGATGAACTATAGTCTTCCTTTACAAACTTTGCAATTGTGTTATGGTATTGTAATTTTTCTGATTTGAAGATCTGATATTTGTTAACAAGATGAATGGCCATGAGTGGCCAAAATTAACGTGTTAATGTAACAATGATGTCCTGGTCAGCTCACTCCCCATCTGTGTTCTTCGTCTTCAGACATAAAGCCAGAAAACCTTCTCATCAGCTCCGATGACATCCTCAAGCTGTGTGACTTTGGTGAGAACCTCCATTAAATCCTCATGTTTTAAGAGCTACAAAACAGGTTGTCAAACATTCAGAGCTGTGGCGTAAAGGAGTCTGCAAGGAATATGACTGCAACCAGCGGATCAGGAGTCCAGCAAGTAGGCTTCATCTGGTTATCTAAAGCTCTGCATGTACTTTTCTCTGCTGCTTCTCATGCTGCTGATCTGCTTTTTCCCTCTCATCTCAATTAATGAAGCATGTTAGGAAACAAGAGTCTAATCAGGCTTTGATTCAGTCTCGTGGCACCACAACAAGTGGAGGGAAATGTAAAACATGGCATTGCCAACATTGTGCAGACAATCTGGAGTGAGAGAATGAAGACCTGCTGTTTGCTCTGTGTCAACCAAAGACACAAAGCAAACTTTCTCAGGGCCAAACAGACATCACTGTGAAGGTTTACATTTGCTTTGGTATTATTTTCATGGTGTGTTGTTTTGCTTGTGAAGCACAATGAGGACGTTCTAAAAATTACCTTTGTAACATGATTTCAACAGCTTTAAAACATTGATTTAAAGGCAATGTTTCATATTCTTGCTGAAGTCAGGCTCTGTGGGAGGGTTATGCGTAATTAATATCTTACCTGTTATCGATAGCGTTTTGAATGGCTTCAGTTTTGAACTATAGAGATTAAATCTGATAGCACTGTTGAGCTAACAGCTAGTCAAGATGCAAGTAGATTAACACCAGAGTGGAATGCAGTTGTCTTAAAACATCTTCAATCTGGGAAATTTTAAAGCGGTTTATTTGGTTCACATGAAACAAGGATACAAGGATTTTTATTGTCATTCACATCACATGTGGTACATGAGGTAGAACAAAACTATGGAAAGCCAAACATAAATGGAAGAAGGACAAACTTTAGGTTCTATTTCATATAGGCTTCGCCCTTTAAGGCTGTCGCTTAGTGGGTTTATCCCATTATGCGGAGCATTACACTGAAAAATTTAGTCCACGCCCACCTGCTGTGTGGGCCCCACCCGGTCCGTATAAATTCTGTTAAGAGCGGGAAATTGGCTCCCATTTTTTCTTCAGCGAGCTAATAGCACTGTCAGAAGAACAAAGAAGGAAAGTTGTGTAGATGACCAACCTTTGTTAAGAATGCTTGGCCCGGCAGTCGACCTCCGGTCGTCCGGTGAGTTCTCCTCCCCGAGGAGAAGCTGATGAGCAGTCTTATTTCAAGGTAAGCGCCGAGGAATATTTCTCAGTGACAGGTCACTACACGCTGGACAACGCCATCTTGTAATTTTCCTCTTATCGCCGACCCTCGGAGCGAATCGGATGGTTCCTCCAGGACAGGCGGCGCTCAGCTGCAGCCCCCCGCTGCTCATTCCCTCCTGGAGAGCGTAGTGTTGGTGGAGGGGGGCTGAGTGAATGTTCACCCCACCCCATCCCACCTGTTTCGCATCGGCGATCACACCGTTCCCGGCCGACGGCGCCCTCAGGGGTTGCCCGGCGTAACCCAGGAGGCGGCTGACATGAAGGGACCCCTTTTTTATGTCCCACGCCTTTCCCGCCAGTTCGGATGATCCGGTGGGAAGATTGTTTACTGGGTTCCATTCCGGCTCACCGTCTTGATCCATATGGCCTCATGTTCCAACAGGACGTCCTACGGGCGAGGCCACAGACGGTTCTTTCCTGGTAGATTGGGGGAGCCGGTCTCCACAGTCCGCACCCATCTCCAGAGCAGGGGTTCACTGAGCAGAAAGTCCCTCCGTGCCACCTGGAGCCAAGCCTGACGGAGGCTTCATTGGAGTAAGATGTCGAGGTGGACCAGCGTCCCGTGCCTCCGGTTAGCATAACCGAGACGGTGACACCGCTCTCCAACTGAGCTCACCAGCATGTGTTCCACACGGCCGCAGTGAACAACACGTTACGCTGTTGGCGTACACGTTCAGAGGCGGGAAGAGACGTGGCCCTCTGTCCTTCGGCTCTTCCACTCTCGTAGCGGCTGCTTGCTAACGACGCTGCCGGCCCCTGCAGTACGCTCCGTCTACAGGGCAGCTGACGTCATCCTAAACTGGTGCGCCTCTTTTGCTGTCTGCCGCCCTGCATCACAGCCGGAGAACGAGGTCCCAGAGGTTCTCCTGGCTCGTCACTCCACCTTCCTCTCAGGAGAGCTGCAGGAGCTTTGTTGGAGGTCCTCTTTTCATCAGCGAGAGATCATTTCAAGATGCTCCACGGCTGCACAACGCCTCCCCAGCTCTGCTACGCCAGCCCCTCCCGTCAGACGTCCCCGGCATCCGGAAGTTCATTTTTTTCCCGGACTTCGCCAACAGGGGGCCCTCTAGGACAACAAACAGAGCTCAAGGGAAGGTAACCGGGTGTCGGGTTGCTGGAGGTGTGTTGATGACACGATGTGAAATAACATCATTTTATGATGAAGTGTCCTTTAGCCAGGCTGTCAGCATGGTTTATCTGACAAGCGGCCCCATCACACACACACTCATCACGAATGAGCCTTTTTCATGTTGTTTTCATTCACTGTCAGCGGTGCCGATACGCGCTCCCGCGGCATGAAAGCGCACACGCAGCTCTCAGCGCCCGCCGTTCACGTCAACGTTAACGTGAGACCGCGGTATGAGCTAAGCAATGTATCTCGCTCTCGGCAGAAGCGACACACGTTTTTTTTTCATCGCAGTGGTGTCAAACACGCGCTCCTGCGGCATCAGCAGCTTTCACAAGCCTCTCAGCGGCTCGGCTCCAGCATCCTCGAAGAAGGTTTTCTGAATTAATACTGTGTAGTGAACTAAGCCTCAGGTCAAATCCTGACCTTGAGGGCCTTCCTGGGACAAGAACATTGATTTGAGTCCAGAAACACAAGATTAAGTTCATCCAGAGTCTTTCTAAGTGTCTTGCACTGATCAATTGAAAGAACACTCTCTTTTTCTATTATCATTACTATCTTACAAATGTCTTGATAATCAAAGTGTGTTTAGTTCAAACCATTTTTAAATGTTGAAGTGAACTACTCATTTTAAATCAACTGTGAAACAGTATTAGTGATTTTTTAATCCTCATTCAAAGTAGAAATCAAGTTAGAATGTGTTACGGAGTAATTCATGCATTTTCTGATTTTCTGTCTGAAATGAGCAAGTGTAAGTTGGTCCAAGGTTGGAGGCAAGAAAACAAGTTGTTGGAACGAACTGTCATGTTTTTATATCCTCTCAGACGTAAATAGAGAAGCTGGCACCTGTTTTCCCCCAACTCGCCTAAACATTTCTCTCGTCTGTCTCAAAAACATCTTCTGTCCGTTCCAAAACAATTTTCTGTTTTTCTGACTTCTAGTGACCTCTTGCGTCACAAAAACACACCCCTGATTAGCTATTTCAGCCAATCAGGACTTCCCAAATGAACCGGAAATAGAACTCTTTAAATGTCGGCACTTCCTAGTTCCAGGCAGTCGTGTGCGGTGGGAGAGCAGTTCAGTTCGGAGAGCAAAACCGAACAGAAGACGTGCTGGAGAGAACAGGAGGTTCAGACATGATCCGCAGTTCTTCCAAGTCTTGTGGGAATTATGAAATCTTCCACATCTGAGTGGAGCCTCTGACGGACTTACTCCTCTTGTGAGTCCACCAGTGGGTTGAACCTGTGTCGGACAGAATACCGGCACTACTTCGGACGATTCACAGCTGTTCCTACGGAGACGCTGAAAGGGTGCGTTAAATGGAACTCCGTACCAGTGGAGACACCTTCTACAGGTAAAGAGTTGATTGACACTACCTAAGTGTACCGAGGAGGAAGCTGAGATCTTAACGGAGCGTGCCGTTCTGATACCGACACATAACAACCCCTCATCCATCTTCTCTCTCTCTTTAAACTCCCTCAATTTCCCATCTTTAAAACTTTTCTATCTTGCCAGCAATTAATCCAGATATTTTCAGAAATGTCTGTTGTAAAGCTGCAAGGATACCATGTTTATGGTTTCCTAGTTGTGAAGCTAATTAATTAAGCTGTTGTTGAAATCAATTTGCCAAATTAATGTAAATGTTTGATGTTAAACTTTGATTCTGTTAATAAATGACCGCATTCATTTGATGGGTCAAAGAAAATTAACGTCTCACGTTACATTTAATTATTCAATGCACGATAGAACTCAGTCCAGAAAAATGAAAGAATCCGTTTAATTTATGAATATATCACAGATATATGTTCATCTACATCTGGTGGCCCGTAACAGGTTCATGAATGGACTGTTATTCGTGTAACAATTGAATTTATCATGTTGGCATGAAAAGTGAAGATTTTTGTTAAGCTGTGTGAAACGCAGCTGCGGTGCTCAGAGAAAATACAGCAAGGTTCTGTCGCTGTGGTGTTTTGAAAGCTGAAAGTAATGTCAACGTGTCATTTTAAAGCTGAAATGTACGTCTGTTGTGTGTAAAAAGCTGATGAGCTGTGAAAAACGTGGATTCTGTTTAAACGCTTTAAAGTTGGTTCTGGTCCGGCTCGGTTCTGATAAGTTCGAACGAGTGTTTTAAATGGATGGAGAGACGTTTTTAAGGACTGAGCGCCGTCTCAGTGAAGCTTTGAGAGTTGATTAGCCACATTTTTAACAGAAAATAGTACATTTTGAAAGTTTTCATGACGAAAGTTGACCGGAATGTTCAAGCTAAATGCTAACACGCTAGCTGAAATAGCGAGCGGCGATTGGTCGAATACCGTTGTTTGAAACGCCCTGATTCGCTGAGAGATGTGTCTGTCGTCACTTCCTCTGATGTCAGGTCGTAAAACCCACCCCCGTTGCTGTTCTGTCATTGGTAGATTCAGTCACGTGACCCGGAAATGAAGCTCGTCTTCATAGGGAATTTCAATCTGTTGTTTAAAGTTGAAAAACGCTTTAAAGTTGGTTCTGATCCGCTGCTCCGTTTCTTTGAAGCCTAATCGCTGAAACTTTGCCACGTTTAAGTTTTAAATCCGTCATTAAATGGTGTTTTTGGACCACACTAGCCGATGCTAATTTTAAGCTAACAGCTAAC